TGGATTTCCGTGATAATATTCAGATTCGCATTTATATGTGTCACAATTTGTCTGTAGAGCCTTTTTCAAAAACATCCCAAATTCTAGTTTTTGGGAAATTTGTAGGTGGAACTAAGATTATGCGTCGCAGTGTACTTGAGCCCAAATGAGCTTCAAACATTACTTGGCATCGTCATGTCGATTAGGAGGATTTTGAAAGGGATCGTGTGAAATGACAGGGATGAACCCACTATTTAAGAGGAAACGCAGTTTTCAGCGTCAAAGTCATGTACATATAACCGTAAAAGTTGAAAGTACACCTACATGCAGATGTTCAAGTCAACGCGGAAGTCATGCGTTCAAGGAAGGTAGTGGAGGAGGAGGCTATATATAATCCTTCCCCCCAGGGAGACGTGTTCCTTGCCGCCGATTCTTTCCTTGGCTTGGACGGGGGGACAAGGTTACGCCATAGACTCGCCGTGACTCGCCTTGAACGTCCATGTTGCAGTTAGAGCGAGTATGGGTATGAGTGTAGCGAGCAGAGTATGGCTGGTCCTAGGACGCAACCCTGGCTCCCCCAACCATATGATAGGATCAGCGGCGGGGGACGCGTCCCCCTAGAATAAGGAAAGGATACGGCCCCAGGAGTCACACTCCCGTCCACACTTCGATTGCAACACTTTCGATGTGAAAAGACAAGACAAAGTTAGTTTTTCTGTATGGCACAGTTGAATCATCCGTTGCTGAGAAAACCCAGGAAGATTTTGAGACTATCGAACAGAGTTCTTCGACATCCGCTTTATAACCCTGATGTTGCTTAGGATCCTGTGCTTCTCTCGCGCATCATGATGTCGAAATTGACATCCAATCTTTCTTCGTCCGAACTCGATGGAGTTCTACAAGAAAGGCATCGAACAAATTTCCTTGCGATGTAGAAAATGGTGGTGTATATAATGCCGAATGAAATAATAAGAGAAATAAAATCAATAATAATAGAAATAAAACAGCCAGCTTTATGCAGAAATTATGGACCCACCTATTTGAGCTTTCCCCTACTGCCACTTTTCCTTATCGGCTAGACATTGTTCCTGTCACTTATCTTGGATGTTTTTTGAATCACATTGAGGTGTGATTAGCTTGTATGGAACTAATATGTTATTTAGCTGTTGACTATACATTCCAGTACGTTGACATTGAACCACAAACGATTTCCCTCAACAACTGGGCTGCGGTTGTCGCTGGTGGTGACTGCTACTTCATCTGGCATTTTCTCGTTCCTCACAGAAGCACATCTAACCGACCTGTAGGAACAGCAGCTGAGGACAAGTAAGCAGTCTTCGTGCGAAATATGTGACACGATTCCTCTTATGGGCATTTTAAAAATAGCCTATTTTCGGCGTTGTGGTATTTTTTCGGTGTTGCGTAACCGGAAGGTTTTCAGAATCCATAAATTGGATAGCGCCGTCGGAACAACCGACATCAGTGGAAGAAGACGAGTAAGTTTCGTGATGTACAGTTGAAAATGGATGTTCCTCCAAATTGTAGCAATGTGTGCTGTGCATCTGTTCTGACTGCCCACAAAACTTGATTCAGAACTTGAGCTGCTAAAGCTGCGAAAACGCGAAGCGTGCAAAGACATTTGCGACTGGTGTTCCTGAACAGCAGGGTAAAAATCGGTAAAGGAACTTTCGACGACACGTCGAGGATTTCTCCACTTCAGTCACGTGCTCCCGCGCGGCCTTTCACTCTCGCCACTATTTTCACCCGGAATAGAGCCATGGTTAAGGATTTTTTTGTTATTCTTCCTGCTAGACAGTCGGCCAACGGCAGGCGCTCCGTGTAACCTCCCCTTCAAAAAGCGAGAAAGTGTCGGGTGCAGACCAAACACCACAACTGACGACGGCCTCCAAGTAAATCTGGTTAGAAGTTGTTCATAGTGATAGCTGATTTCTGGTAAATGATAGTTGTAATTAGTGACAATCGATAGAATACAACTGCAACAGGCTAATCATTTCATTGGCAGAAAACATTAACATTTTGTGAAGGCCGTCGTCACTTGTGGTGCATGGTCTGCACCCGACACTTTCTCGCTTTTTGAAGGGGAGGGTACGTGTCATCGTCGCGTCTCTCAAAAACATTTTAACACAAAATTTCTGCGCCCACTTACATCACTCATTGCTATAAAAAGCGCGAGTAAGAGGATAATTTGAAAAAAAAATGTAAAAAAATTAGCGATAACTACTGCTGCGCTACTGTTACGTTTCTGAGCCAAAGTCTTCGATCACATCTTGAACGGTGTTCTACTTGCAATAGTACGTATATCATCTAGAAAATGTTCCAGCGTGGACCTGATCCCATCACTCGAACATGCATGGGAAACAAATCTTGCCTTCTGGTGAGTTATAAATAAAAGCAGCCATTTCCAACAAGAAGAATCTCGAAAACTAGAAAAAGAAAAGTCCAAAACTCTAGTTGCTATAAGGATTATTCGGTGCAATGATCACGAGCATGATATTTCTTGCCAGACCGTTTTTTTTTTGCGAAAATAGCCCTTGCACCAAATTGGAGCAAAGTGGTGCCAGATTGTGCTGACGCTGAAAATTAATTTCTATTCCGTAAGGCACTGAACAACCCATGAACAACGAATTCGATGGAAGCCTTTTTGAGGTTTCGAAGTTGGTAGCTGAGCAAGAGAAATTGTGTGTACCCATGAAATTCTATTAGATATGTTCTGTTCAGTACTGCGAGTCGGGAACGCTCTACAAGGTATCACTGCATGATGGTGCAATTCAAAGCCGCCTTAACTTGGTACCCAATGTGATTCAAATGGGCCTCAACTTATCTGGTAGCAGACTAGCCACCATCGGTTCGTATTAATGACTTTGTCCGTGAAAACAGTTTGATGTGGATGTATGGCTTTCTATCGTCCCTTTTGAAAACCAGGTCTACAATAGTTTTTTTTTCTGATACATAATCTGATTTCTACTTCTTCTCATCAACTCACTTCACATCTCTGAGAATTATCTAGATTTCATGCTCTGTTTCATGAAATCTGGACTTGTTCTACATTTCTTGACATAAATGTCTCTATAGCTTGTTACGATAGAGCTGCTTGATTTGGTAACAGTTCCGGGAAGACCGCTGCCACCAGGAACTTTCGCGGCTCCAGCAGTGCCCCGTAAAGGCCCAAACTCTGCGCGGAGATATGGAGACTCGAAACGTTTGAGTTAGATTAGCTACTATACTCATGGAGTGAATCGCCAGAACTGGATGCGGAGGGGGGTAGAGGGGCAGGAGGATTAGCCTAGAAATTAGACTAGTCACGGGAAAATGAAGATATATGAGTTATTCCAGAAAACTGGATCGACATGAACTCCAATGAAAACACAAATAATTCTTGCATAATGGTACACCGTCGGTGATCTTCGGCAATGCCTGTAGGCGCAGCAACTTTATGGTTTGCTCTTTACGCAGCCAGAAGTAAGCAGTTCTCGTCGCCCACTCACTCAGAACATTCACAAACAATGCATTACATTATATCTCTATAACTTTATCGAACTCATTGCATATATGACAGGATGAATACCAATTATCGCACACTGAATTCGCGGAATAAAGTGAACGGCAATTTCATGAACTCGTTCTGAGTGTGAGCTGGTCTGTGAATAATTCTGTGATCCTAAGGATCTATTCAACATTGTGCTGACACGGTCATCATCAGCGGTAAGCAGGGTCCCGAGTTGCTCCGGAAAGGCATTCATTCAACTATGTTCGCTACCGGGATTCCACCTCTAACCTTTCCGAGAATCCTGCAGAGATCTCTCGTACCTGTGCGACTTTTGCATTCTTTCGATTCCAATAGTGCATAGATTTGGCACCCGAACAGATACGAATTATTACAGCTTAGAGAGCGCTTTTTAAATCCATCTAATTGGTAAAATAGTCCTGCACCAAGTTCGAACCCTCTCTAGCTTTGCGAAAAGGTCATTCTTTATTGAAAAGTCTGGAAGCTATTTTTGGAAACTCCGTAACAAAATGAGAAACCTTCGCTTTAATTTGCGCTTGATACCGATATGATCATCACTGATATTTTGATACGGTCATCTCGCGCAGTGAACACCAGTGAACACTTTCGACAGCTAGTGGAATCAATGGGCTTGGGCAGCAGCAATTAGTGCTCTTCCATACCCACCTTGCGCAAAAGCCCCCCCCCCAACTCTCTAATGAATCGCCCCGTTAGAGAGAGTCCCGCTCATTCTGAATTACTTCAAATCACCTGGATTCATGAGAATATGTGGGAAGGTTTCACTGGATAAATGCTAGTGTCCACGGGTAGCAGGCAATCAGAAATTATTAAAACAAGGAATAAAATAAATAAATAAAACAGAGGAAATAACATGAACGAAGCCAAGCTCTGTGAGGTCGCAGGGGTTCTAATAGCTATGCAGTGGTTACAGTTTGCGTCCTCCCTGTAAGTAACTATATACAATGCTTGGCTTCCCTACAGCTGGATTCTTGACGAGGCTATGTAACTTCACGCTTTCTAAGACACATTCTGCGATAGAGTTACCGATCATTGAATATGCCTGGTTAGTGGAGTGATTCATAGGTGCTGGCAAAGGCGAAAGGTTTCATTATTGCTCCCCGAGGGCGGCTCAAGAACAACGGTATCACCTCCGAACACTGACAAGGCCTCTCTGCCTAGCCACTGTCTGCGTCTCTCTTTTATACAACCTCTCGTTCCTCTAGTCGTCGAATTTTCTTGTCCGGAAACGCACTCTGTTTTGCGCCACAGACCGTGCTTTTGTCTCAGTCAAATATAAGGTTATCTTGTATCCTTTCGACTATTTTCTTTAGGCCTTTCTAAGCTGCACGTAACACCCACCACTTCATATTGAAAACTTCTATGCACATGCTGTTATTGTGAAATTTGCCCTGTTTGAAAAACCAATTTTCAAGATTCGTCGAATCTACTTCAATTTTTCGATTTCAACGAAGATGGTCTTAGTAAAGTAAACAACATGGATGTTAAAGAGGTTGCTGATTTCAAGTGGGATGAGGTAGGTATGAAAACTTCCGTGATAGCTTAGACGACTTACCAACGAATTTTTATGCAATACCAGGAGCAAGAAGATTCCATAGCATATCTCTCCAAACAAAAGTTGGTCGTATTACGTGGGAAAGAGGCAGAAGAAGGAATTGCCTGTGAAGGGTGAGATGTTTTCTATAAAATCACGATAGAGTCATGCCTACACCCTCGCCCAACTTGCTCGCTTACCAGGAATAAAAGCGTGGAAATATAAAGCATTCGGTCTGATAAATTTCATTTTGGGTGCGCCTAGTCCTCGAATTCCTTTCCGAAGAGCAAATTCCTTTTATAAGTGTGAGGCTGACTCAAAAGAAATGCGGGGAGCAGCCCATCCGTGTGTCTGTGCCTGAATTCTTTCAGTTTGTTCACTTTTAAAACCAATGTACAATCAAAAGGTGAAAGGCTGGGCTGGAAAGTGAAACTTGGTTTATGAATCCATTCCGCAACGACGGTGTAGCAGCGACGTCCTTTATCTCTCTAGTCGACTTCTTAAAGAACCATCCATTTCAGGTACATCTGCTCTTTTCGTGGTTTGGTTGTTCGCACTGTACTTTTAGACAGTTTCCTCCTCCACAACTCAACCGCAGACAAAAAATTTATTATCGATTCAGAGATAAAGGTGAGTGATACGTACTTAAATTATAGTAACACTAATTTGATGGAAAAGTTGGCAAAAGAACCCATCCAGAAGAGCTAGACTACGATAGTAGTCACAGGTGCACTCTGGACCAGCAGGACATTCAGATCTGGACAAGCTTCTGTAGACCATCTCTCCTCTTTCATACTCCATGACAATGTGCTTTATGCGCGACATGATGGGGTAGAGAACCTTTTCTTCGATTTTAGAAGACCAGGGTTGCATTTATAGATCCTGCTACACTCTCCCCACAAATTTTATGGAAAGAAAGGAACATTCAGGAAAACACTAAGTGTTAGCAGGATTTTTTTTGTGGAGTTTCAGAAGGGTGGCAGAGGGTGGTGATCTGGATTTTTTCCATGATCGGTCGTTTCTCCGACGTGACCACTGCTTTCGACTCAAGTTGCTGCACAAAAAAATCGGAACTACTCGGATGAGCTCGATTTACGAGCGGTACGATCCTTTGTAGTCCAAATGCAGGCCATAATAGACAACTTCTTGAGGTCGAGTGACCAGTCACAGGTGCACTCTGGACCAGCAGGACATTCAGATCTGGACATTTCACGATTAGCTCATGTTAAACATGTTATCCGGTATATTTCTCTAGCAGCTTTCTTTCCAGTCACTCCGAGACGCGAAACAGCTACTGGAACGTCTGAAAATTGAAGAAGCGGTAGAATTCATCGAAAAGAATCCGCATCCAAAATTATGGTAAGTCCATGCGAATGGATTGGTGAAGGTGCCACACGAGTGAAAGCAGAACGTGCATGTTTAAATTTGAAAAGGTCGCCTATAAACTCCAACTGAAAATATAGCTTCTGCATTCTTAGCCATGTCCTGAATCAAGGTCAAGGTTTGAAAATTTTTTGGATATACGCGACCTTCTCGCTCTTGGAGGTCCAATTCGCCAATCCTATAGTAGTTCTTGGTGAATCTACCTCCGATCTCCTACATCTATCTATCCTGACCTTCTTTTGTTTTCCTTTCTGTGACTTTCAAAAACATCATTTAGTTTCACCAACCTTCCGAAAAAAAATATAGATGCAACTTTCTTCGTCGTGAATTTTCCCAACGGGCTCTTAACTCTGACTCACCCCGATATCACTACGCCAAGGTTACAACACTCCTAGCAGAAGTTGGGCCAAAGAATCTGCTTGGTAGGTGAGTCAGAGTAGGCCACGAGTACCACAGACGTTCGTTGTCACGGCTCGAAACGTGCGCGACATCGGCTTAGTGTCTTACAAAGTCAGCATTTGGCGACTAATCTTAGCATTTGGACGAGTTACGTAGCGCACACCCATGACACGCAACGTGGATTACGGCGTAGCGGCTAATTCAAATACGCGCGGGTTAGTTGAGCCGTGGAGCAGGCAAGTTCGTACAACTCGTCTGGCCCCCCCTTCCCTTTTCAAGGGAATTTTGTTTTGGGCTTCATCGACAGTTTTCTTTGCTTTTTTTCATTTTTAGTCGATTCGGCATCCAGTACTTCATTATTAATCACTTCGACCCCACAAATTTGTTCTTAGGGTGTTGCGGAATTCATACAAGCTGAATTCATCGCTAAAAATTGAGAAAAAATTTGGATTAGATTACACTTTCATTCCACGTGATTATATTGCACACTTTGAAATTTGCTTTTTTTGCGACAAAAACACATTTTGGTGAGAAAGATAGCGATGGATTCGACTTCTAGCTTGAAATAAAATTAATCACATGGTTAAATCAACTATAAGTTGCCGTCAGCTCAAATGTGTGGTGGGATATTTTACACAGCTTGCTCTAATTTTTTCCAGGAGTCTGCTTGCCGAAGTTGCTCTTTTGCGTCTGGACATTCCGACAGCGGAGTATGCCTATGTAAGCACTTACACGATTCATATTTTCAATATATTCGAAACTCTCCTCAGGCTGTTGCATATAGAGCTTTGGCCTTCACTGTGAGGGGTTAGTGCATACAGAAACATAAGCCATAATTTTTCATTTTCTTTAGTCATGTTGGAGTTCTGTCAGTTCTCTCTCGCGCTAAAACAATCTTTTGTTTTTGGAGTAGCAAAAGGTAATCCTTCTACCTCGGTCCCATACTGAAACTTTGAAATTGACCCGAGAACAATCGATTTCTGCACTTTTGTAGAATACCAGTATCCTCTTAGGAGGGTGTCAGAGTTCGCGATCCGTCGCAGGTTTCGCTGATTTTCGCGATTTGCGCGATTTGCGCGAAACCTGCGACGGATCGCAAAAATTGCAAGTGCCCCATTTGAACATTTGAAACACTGAATATGAAACAAGTGGAATCATGAGCAGTCGTCATTCAGCCATCACTATCAAGCAGAAGTGGCGGCAGGATTGGAGAACACCTTGCAGTATTGATCGGGCACTTGTGATTTCCGTGACCCGTCGCGTGAATCGCGTGAATCGCGCAAATCGCGTGAATCGCGCAAATCGCGAAAATCAGCGAAACCTGCGACGGATCGCGGACTCTGACACCAGCCTTAGGTGCGAATGGATCTTGAGCAAATAGCTCTGCGCTGTGCCGAATTTTTGATTGCTGAATCTTTACAAATAGTACAAAACCTTCGCAGCGATCCCTTCGCATTCTTTGAGCAGAATTTTAGCAGTTTACAGTGCAGGTGGGAAGGAGTGCAGCATTCTCTTAGAGTCATCATATGACAGCGACGTTTTGTTCTTTTCGCTGTTCCCCGTTTTTTGTGATGAAATGATTACTAATTCGAGCGCTACAGTGTAACTTGCAATGAACCTTTGAATAGTACGATGTTACAGGTGAAGATGCGGGACTATTGCGGCCTACGTTTCTGTAAAAGGATTGAAGACATCCAGGTTTGGAACAACGTCATCAGCTTGTGTAAATAATTTGTTCTGACAAGTGGAAAACAGCAGGTTGAAGTGGTTGTCCCTGATAAGGTACACTTTTTGTACAGTGATCACGGATTTGCAATTTGAACTGTACAACGATCCTAATTTTGATTGTGAAGAGACAGGGAAACGGGGTAGTTGTATTGGCCTACAGTTGAGAGGTCGTGGGATTTGTTTCTTGGCGAGCTTGGTGCTTTGCTTTTCTCCATCTCATCCAGAAACAATTTTATCCTAGACCAATCATCTACATCTCCGTGGTTGCCTCTATATAGTTGGTTATGATGCAGGTAGCGAAGGCGACTGAAGCTTCTGTGCTAACGGTATTCGTGCTCAGGGAGCCAAACTACCCCCAAAGTATCTGAAGCAATAAACATGTCAAGTTATGATATCGCAACCTCTCGTATTTAACCAGTACCTCCCCCGCTGTCCTCGAAGCGTCATATCTACAGGGGGGGGGGGGCAAAAAAGAGTCACTCTCATTCACATTCAAACAGAATTAATTACACTTTGCCAAACCAAACCGAATGAGCTCAATTGCATATTGAAGAGCACATTCTATTCTATCAAAAAAAAATTACATAGGGGCTTTCTACACCGACGACATCAGAAGATTTTCCCACGGAAACATGGTTCGCGGTACGAGCTCAACGAGGTCGTCGAGAAACCATAGACGATTACGACGTCTCTGAAACGCTGGTCAAAAGCCATCTTGCATAGTCAGAGCTAGTGTCCCTAAGAAGCCATTCACCAGTTATCCGATTGAAGAAATTATGTAGCAGCTTCAGAGCGATTATGGTAGGCCTCCTTGAGCTCGACGGTGATGACAGATGACGTCATATTCTGGAGACGGTGAAGGCAGCGAAGGTGGGCCTGATTCTGCTTATGGGGGGACATCTAAGGAATATTTCGCCGTATAACTCCCAATAACAGCGGCATCCTTTGCGACAAAAAGTTTGATGATATGCGCCATGGGCAAAGTGACTTTTTTTGCCCCCCCCCCCCCTGTATGTGTTAAGAGCCGTTCTGCAGATTTGGAATGTAGATTCTCGATCAGCGTCCAAAAAGATACCGTCGATATAATCCTTTCACAAATGGTCACTTCAACCCGATGTTCTTCCCTGTTGGTGAAAAAACTATGCGTTGTGAACATTAATTATAGTACGGCAAAACACTTTTTGACCGGTGCTGAAAATGTTGAACATACAGTACCGTGCAGTGAAGTATTCGTTTTCACTTTTTTAAACGTAATTTCCTCAAAACTCAAGCTTTCGCAGTAAAACTTCGACAGCAGTTGACACACACAGGTAGTCATATTATAGCAGCGTATCGGTGCGATAGCCTCCTTTCAAGGGGAAATGGAGCTTCATTTTCGAGTATTGTCCGCGGGCACCCAATTTCATTGTTGATAAACGATGAGTTTCCATGTTGAGAGCACGTGTGTTTTTGATGTTTTGTGTCAGTTTCATATGCCTACACAGTACTCAGAACATTCCAAGACATTAGGGAATTCATAGCTTGTGGCAGGACCAGGTGACGCCATCTTTCGGAGGTTCTACGAAGGCTTAACATCCCAGCAGATTTTTGAAGTTCAAGGAGCCCCAGTGGACGACTTGGAAGAAATTCAAGAGCATTGAACCTGCCAAAGTCAAAAAGCGCCCAGAAGTAGCAAAAATGACCTCTTCTCTCGCCAATAGAATCATTGTGCGACTTGTAAGGAGTGGCTCACGCTGCACCCGAAATTCACCGCGGATTCTCAACGCCAGACGGTCTAAATCCGTCCGAAGACAACGTGCGACGTTGTCTGAGAGATGCTGGGCACTTCTGACGTAGCTCAGTAAGAAACCGCTGATTCCCCCTCAAGAGTGGCAGAGCGCATCTCAATTAGGCTCATGCCCACAAGAAACGGACTATTAAGGAGTGACAAAAAGCCATCTAGAGCAACGAATCGAAGTTTTTGCTGTTTAGCACGAAAGAAGTCAAGTTTTTGCGACTTCCCGTTGGTACCAGATATCATCCGAGGTTCCATGTGCTGACGTGACGAATGCAGGGGGTGCGGTGATACTGCATGGCAGCTTCTGTGGCATAGGGGTTGATCACCTTCATCGGACCGAGGCTGAAATGGATTCCAAAACGCGCCTCAACATATGGATGACTGCTATCTGGCCGCATGCTCGCAGTGTCGCCCGTAGTGTTTCATTTTCCGACCCCAAGCGCAAAATCAAAGCCGCTCTCGCAATGGTTCCGCAACAACAATGTTCCTCCACTGCCATGCCATCGCAGTCCCCATACTTGAATCAGAGCAAAAATCTGTAGGATGATTTTCGGAGTCAAGCTGAAGGCCCAAAAGCTCACAACGAGTTCGAAAAGTCCGTCCCACTGAAGATCGCGTAGGGGAACCTCTACCAAGAAAAAACCCAATTCCGTGCTTCGCCGGTGTCAAGCCGTCGTAGATGAAAACGGTTCTGCGACAAAGTGCTGATGTTGTAGTTGTTACGTCTGTTATTATATAAGTCATTTTGTTATTATTTTTGAATTTTAGATAGATTGAATTTCGAACAAGTAATATGGTATTGGACCGAAAAAAATTAAAAATTTCTAAATTAGTATAGAAGCCACCTAGACAACTGAAGATTTGCTTCCTTATCAGGTAGAGTGATGTGTTCTCACCTACAAAAAATCGGAACAAAAGCTTGAGTTTTGAGGGAGTTACGTTTAAAAAAGTGAAAACGAATACTTCACTGCACGGTACTGTAGATGTTAAATAATTCAGCTTGTAATCGAGATTGTTAATAGCAGTTTCATATTCATGTTTTGAATATAGATTAGCAGAGTAAGCTTGCACTGCAAAAGCATTCAGGATCCTAAGTTGAAAAAAGCAGAGATCTTCGTTCATTTGGGCAGAGCAAGCGATGCCGAGAAAGAATACCTTGAACAGGACCGCCGGTGAGAACCAAGTTATTTTTTAATTGGGACATCCTTTATGGTCCTCAAACTAATCGAAAACTTGAACTTCATCAGCAATTTATGGTAGTTGCATTGATATTAGATCCACAATATGACCGAGAAAATGGAAAAGGCGAGAGGTGCGAAATAAATAGCACGAAATAAAGGTAGCTTCAGAGCGTTGAATAATGCCAAACTCACCTGGAAATACCGACCTGATCTGTGGCAAATTGAACAGTATATCAGGCATTTCAAGTTTCACTACACAAGGGTCAGGATCAATTTAGTGCGAATCCCACTCGAGCACGAACGCAGGGATGCGAAGTGGACCAAAAGTAGACGAAAAAGGAAGGAATATGGCAAAGAAAACAGAAAATGCGAACCTCCTTGCTGAATCAGGCGTAGAAGGCTAAAAAGCAGACGGCGAAATAAGGGATTATGGGAGTCGCGCGGAGAATGAAAGAGGTTCGGGTCAGGAGAGCACAGCTGATCGTTTAGCACGACACGGGAAAGACGTCCAACGGTGGGTGGGTACGGTTCGATCGGGCACGCGGGTAAACATCGTAGCTGCCTTGCGCATTATTTTTAGTGAGGCGCTTCCAGAAGCTAAGTTGTCGCAAACCTTACAGTTACGGACCTGCCACCTCCACCCGTGGGAGGGCCGATCTCGAAAGGATAAAAACACTGACTTGTACATCGGCTGGCCCCCGCAAGTCATTGTATAGGCCACATCGCATTCAAACGCCACTACGAATGTACAAATGGAAGTAGAATGCGTGCCGCATCCCAAAAAGGGATTGATCAACGGCAAATGCTTTATCCTTTTTTCGGGGTATCTGCGACTCCTTGCCCGCTACGCTCGTGTTTCTTTCCTTCTAGGACGCTCAGTCTCTTTGTCTCAGCACTGTCCAATCTGAAGATTGGTTTTTTAGTTTGAGCCCCCGGTTTTCTCTTTGGTTTTTTTTCACCGTGGGAAAAACCCTCTACATTCATTGGAAGCAAAATAACCACATCTCGTGACGAGGTGATATGTCGGTCCTCTGCAACAATTCTACTCCAACGTCGCATCTCCCGTAAGGGCAGCTTTGTACTTGGCTGTGGCAAACACATGCCTGAAGAAGGTGTTATACACCGAAATATCGCGGAAGATTTCAAAGGAATTCTTTTTCAAACTTTCTTGGTTTTTTGAATTTTTGGAATATTTGGAATTTTGTGAACTTTTGGAATTCTTTTGGAATGAAATCTTACTGCCTCCTTGTGTTGTAGAAAATTTAGGTCTTCTGCAACAGCTGAGAAATAGATTTGCGGGGGCCCAAAACGAAGGTGAAGAAATACGATCAACACCCCCCCCCCTTCCTATTCCGCCATTGTCAACGGTGCAGTACCTATTTTCAGGGATCTGGCCATTGATATGCACAAAAAGGCTGATGAATGGCTGCGAGTGTTACGATTGGTAAGCGCTAGCTCAACGGCTGCCGACGACAAGCAACGTATCGAAGCGCTCACGAACGTAGCCGATTATAATCGAGACCGGCAGCGATGGTGGGTAGCTTGAATCCGCCCTGATTCTTTGAAGGCGTATCCTATGCTGAACATGTCATTGTCACTGCGCTCATAGACCCACCTTTCAAGGCGAAGAAGCGTAGGAGCGCGCCCAAGGAAAAGATGTAAAGTTCTGAGTGACTCCGCCCATACATTCAGAATTGGTTTTTTTTTTCGAAAGCTGTTGACACGCTGAAATATTGGGCAAAGCGCTCTAGGGCGTCCATCGGTACAAGGGGTTGGGCTGGACTCCCCTCACTCCTCCCCAGGAGGTGTGTCCCAGTCAGAGCCAACCATCTCTTGAAAAACTTCTAAATTTGAAGGAGGGATTCTGTGGTTCTACCGTGACTTCTTGGAAGAAAGGTGTCCAACCTGGTGAATTGATTTGGCATTGAGTCTTGGAGAAAAATGTCAGAGAAAAGAATTTCAACAGATGTGTTTAAAAAACGAGAACTTATGCTTTTCATACATTTTTAAGTGGAATTTTGAAAATTTAGCAAGTCCTTTAGCTTCGCACTAATGCAAGTTTCCAAGGCTCAAGTGGTTATCTTTAAATGAATAGGGCTGCAGTTGTCACATAAAGGTGAAGATAATAGGTTAGTTTTGAAACTCTTCCTACTGGTTGAGGAATCGCGGTTTTTCACAAGACTCGAAAAACTTCCGATCAGGTTACGGTTACTCGCTTCTTGACTCTACGCGGTAAGTCCCTTCAAATCTGTGCACACTCGTTCCTAATTAAGGAAGGAGGCCGCCGATCATTATGAGCTAGCTGGAAAACTTGATCAACTTATGGTGTGCTATATACATTTGGATGACTTCTATGGTTTGGAGGCTTTAGCCAAGCAACTTCCAGACAGCCATCCATTGCTTGCGGTAAGAATTAGAAAGAACCTATTATGTATACCATAAAATTCGAATCCTTCCGGGCCAATCTATGCCCCCACCCAGCTTATTTTTTTTGACTTCATATAGAATTCAACCTCCAATTTTTTCTTGGTGAGGTAAAGGATAAAAAAAGGATAAAGCATTTGCCGTTGATCAATCCCTTTTTGGGATGCGGCACGCATTCTACTTCCATTTGTACATTCGTAGTGGCGTTTGAATGCGATGTGGCCTATACAATGACTTGCGGGGGCCAGCCGATGTACAAGTCAGTGTTTTTATCCTCCCAGACAAGTCTGGTACCAATTAACCGACCCCGGAGGGATGGAAGGCTTGGTTGGCCCGGGCGACTCACGACCCAGGATTTGATCCCGGACCGCTCGCGTGGTGAGCGCGCCACTTGTCACTGCACCACTTCCGCCCGTTCTTGGTGAGGTATGTCGAAAAATTGAAAGTAGCCTATGAAATTCTCCTTCACGAAGAACGGCGAAGTTAAGGTAATATACATAACATCGCAGGTTCCGCACTGATTACTCAGTCCTGTCCGACTGCAGTGGAGAATAAAAAGTAGCGTAACTCTTAAACCGAGCTGTTAAAGGTACTAACAAAAACGATTCAAAATTAAGTGATTAGCACTGAGTGCAGTTCAAACTGAAACGCAATGAATCTTCACATGTGTTCCCCATTAATCTTGACAACAGAATAGCTGCGCGATGGTCATTGTGGTTGCCGCTGGCAAGAATAATTATTCTTATGAAGAATTATTTGGCCGAACGAAAGGGGGGGGGGTCGTCATACACAGGGACCCGCGGTGAAATGCATTGAGAAAATAGGATTCCATGTAACAGTACAACGCAACTACAATCGCGATACTATCACCGTCTCCAGGGAGTGGAGGACTTTCAATGCTAGTGCGACTGCTTACCACAAACAGGTGCACGGCGTACCCGAGGAGTTTTCACTTCAAAACGCTTTATCTGTCAGCGGCCGTAAGCAGACAAACTTCCTCAAAAGAATCTTGATGTCTTCAGAACAAATCTAAGTGGAAGAAAGTTAGAACTTGCTTAATTGACTTCTAGGGACCTCCTCAGAAATTCTGGCAGAAGAAAGCTTTTCAGGGAAAATTTTGCATACGTTGTAAAGCACTCTTCATGTAGACTTCAATACTTTTACCGCTTCTCATTATATGAATTTTGAAGGAAATTATGGACGTTTGAAGATTGCAAAGTCGCGTTTCAGGAAAATGGCTTGAAAAAAAAAAGGGGAAAAACGGAACAACGGGACTATTTTTTGAAGAGTGATCTTTGGAAAAAAGTCAGGTGCTTGTTTGAAAGCGCTAATCTTCTAGTTTCTAATTAGCCTTAGACATCTGCAAAAAGTTGATTATGAAGAAAGTTATGAATGTTTGAATGTCGAAAACTCGCGTGTGCACAAAAAACGGAACAACGGGACGATTTTTTGAAATATTGAACATTCGCAACATTTCAAATACTTTTTGGAAGAAAACTATTTGTAGTTTTCAAATTTTTGTGTCCCATCTCATGAAACCGCTTTGAAGAAATCGAAAAAAATAACC